AGGGCCAAAGTAAGTGGAATACCTTTGAGGCCACTTCTCTCTGAGGCCTAAGTGCTTGCCTTCTTACGGGTTCTTCAGGAACGCCGCATTCACCGCTGGAAGCACAGGCTTCTCTGGCCATCCCTCACCCTCAGAACCTCAGCTGACCGAACCACCCCACTTCTCCAGAACACCTCTTCCCTCTTTTCCAAGCCATTCCACAATGTCTTCTGAGACTGCTGCTCTATGGTCAGGCAGATCTACTGTAGGTTCAGTATCTTCATGGAACATTCCACTCACCTCCTTGCCTCACCAAAATCTCAGTGCCTTCAAGGACCTCACTTCTCCAGCAACCCTCACATTCCTCCCAGTGATCCATGATCACTTCCAGAACAATACCACTTCTAATCCTTGGAGAAACCTGTCATCTATCAACATCCTGTCTCAACCCAATATGCACTACAGAATTTATGTTACCTGACTTACGATGTTCCTTTTGATCCTAACTTACATCACCCTGTGTGGATGACTCAATGACTCATGCAACATCCTTACCACTCGGTTATTAGTATCTCATTTCAAATAACCTATTCTTCTACTACACATCTAGTCCCATAGTCAGACTTAGAAACCACCTAATGTTCAGTAATTGCATCAGGTTCAAAATCACCACCCAAAATAAATCATTTTCTAACTGCAACCCCATGTTTGTTGTTCATTTCCTTTGGGTTTTCCACTGGACCAGTAATGAAACTTCCAAGCTAGAATGCGAAGCATTCTGTAAATCAACTGCCCTAGATTCTTCTGGCAAGTTAATGAGAGGAAATACAAAGAGAACAAGGTAATGAGACACAACCATGAACAACGTATCACCTCTGACTGGACCACAGGGGTTAAGAAAACAAATACAAAAGACACTTTGGGGCACAACTGGGGAAACCTGAATATGGGCAGTACATTAGATGACACCGAGAGATTCCTGGTAATTTCCTGTGATCACGGTGTTGTGCTTCGGTGGGAACATGATCTTGCCCTTGAGACCCATGCTGAAGTATTACGGAGTGGTGTGTCACGATGTCTGCAACTTTCTTTCCAATTGTTCAGAAAAAAGCAGAGGGAGAAGGGAGCAAGGAAGGGAGGAGGAAGAGTGGGGAGGAAGAAAAGGCAGAGAAAAGAAAAGACGGAGGAAAAAAGCAAATGTAGAAAAGCTTGACCATCTAGGTGAAAAATGTAAAGGTATACAATGTACCATTCATTCCATTTGTCTCTGGCTTGAAAATGCCTAAAGTAATGGTCTGGAAGCAATGCATCAAGAAAAACCCATCTCTGACATATCTTTTGAGCTTTTAAAAAATTCATATACATATAAAATAAGTATGTGTGTGTATATATATATATATATATGTAATTATATATATAGCCACATTTTTCTCTGTGCTCATCCAAACACAACTGTGAATATTTCTGAATGAGAAGGTGGCTTAACTAATATGAGACTGCACTACACATTACTCTGCAAACTGCTTTTCTGATTTAACAATACACATGGATATGCTTTCAAGTCACAGTAAAGACACGCATTTATTCAATAATTTATCCATTTGGTGGACACTGTGGTTGGTCGGTTTTGGCTACTATCAACAATGCTGTTGTAAATGTCTTTGTGAATATCATCTCACAATTCAGTCTTTTAAGGCTAGAGGATACGTTCCTGAAAATTGAACTGCTGAATGACAGAGTATTTCCCCAAAAGACAGTAGCAAGTCACACTCCAAAGACACCTGAGTGCCTGTCCCCTTTATTTCGTCTATACAGTAACATACCAGTCTTTTAAAAATGCTGTCACTCTGGGGAGCTGTTTGAAATAAGCACAAAGTGAGGGACTCTCAAGTCACCTATGAATCCTAAAGCAGTACTCACATTACTTTCAAAGAACCAAAGGGAGAAGTGAAAAGAGAAAGCTACCCTCCCCACATCTGAATTCCCACTAAATTTTTTCACACTGCTATTACAGCACTTACTAATTTGTACTGCCCTTATCTTTCTGTATTTTTCATACCAAGCTTAAGAGAAATTCCTTGAAATAGGAATAGTATCACTCCATCATTCATTAATTCATTCAACAAACACTTAATCAGCTACCATGTATCACGCACTGCTGAGCACCAGTAACATCCAAGTAAATAAGACAAACACCATCACTGCCTCCGCATACCTAATATTCTTATGGAATGATCCAATATTTAGCAATTAATTACCTAATTAACACTTTAATTACAGTGATGATAAATGCTCTGAAGCAGAACAGGGTGCAGTGAAAACATATAACCCAGCACACAGTACTGGGAATGACCTAAAGTGGCTTTTCAATATTGTTCATCAATGGTTTAACAAATTTCACTTATCACCAACGCCTGATAGTAGTTTATGATACATGATTTTAAAATATATGGTCTGTAACTGTAGCGAGAGAGCGAGAAAGGAAGACGGGAACTAAAGTTTATGAGCTTGACCCAGGACTGTGCCAGGGCCTCTGGCACAGGTCACCTCATTTAATCCTCACTACTCACTTCTAAGGCAGCTACTAAGGCTCCATTTTGTAAATGTGGAGTATGAGATTCAGAGAGACAGTAATTTGACAAAACTCACTAAATGGTGTCAGGACAGTATATGAACCCAGGCCTGATTTCCTTCTCATATCACAGTGCAAAGGCAGAAAGACTAAGCCTGGAAAAATCTATCTGCACAATAAAATACATTTTGTTTTACATGTGATACATGTAATTATAGTTAGGAGAATGACAGCAAGCCTATTTAGTATTTACATCACTTAATTTAAAAATGTACTAACTGCTGAGCCTATGTATAAAGTATAGTAAATGAAGTAAATAAATTGGTAGGAAACATTCACTTAAATATACAACATCAAAGAATAGCAGTCCATAAATATGAAAGAGTGTTCCTTTCAGAAGCTAGACAAAGTAGAACACAATGCTAATGTAAAATTTTGACAAACTGCCCATGTGCCATTACATTGTTATACCAAGTTTACTAGAGATGTGGTTTGACAAAATGTTCTTAAGTACCTCAAATTCATGAATTTACCATCAAGCTCACTAGAGCAAAACTTAACCAAAATCTAATAATATTCACACTGAAATATGCAAAGATGGTGGGGATGGAGGGAAGAAATCTACAGAAAACTCTTAAAAATATTTTAAAGACCTCCAGAAATAATCTTGCCAAGAACCTGGTTTGTGTCTATGTATGTGTAGTTTAACATACACATATGCACACCAAAATTAGATATGTGTTCCAAACATGCCCTGAAGTAATTTGGGGAACAATATTATTTCTGTAAGAAAATGAACCCTTCAAGGCCTATTTAACCAATGTATAGAAAAAATATATATCTGCTGCTGATGTTGGAACATGGCAGAGTTACAATACCAGTAAATATTACACAATTAAGGCTGAAAAGCAACTCAAGAATGAGTCAGCAAGAATGTGAAAGGGATTTTTCAAATTTTTAGATGTTTTGGACACTGACTTACTGATTTTTGTATTACATCTAGGTTCACTTGACGGCTTGCAGCTTTGCTTTGGTTGATCAAGGTAAGATTAGATTAGACATAAGATTAGACACAATCATTGTCACTGCTTAGTTAACAAACAGGAAGAAAAGAGAGTGATAAGTAATAGCAAAAGGGAAGGAAGGGAAGAAATTTCTCCTGATCTAACAAGAGAAAAGTTGAAAGAAAAACAAGAGTAAAACTGAGGACTATATGACTGACTTACCACTAGAAGAAAATGAACAGGGAAAGGCAGATGTGTAAAACAGTCACTCAACTGTCCTGGGCTACCACAGTACAGTTGTACAAACCATTCACTGCACAAAGGTCAAGGGGGCAAAGTAGGGGCTTGACACGCTCCATTGCTAAGCTGAACTCCCTGTCTCAAGGCTCGATGCACCCAGAGAACAGAGTATTTCTTCTAATTCACACAAAGTTACAGTCCACCTGCCAAGCCTTGTGACCTACAGGCTGTGTCCACTTGAAGGGAGGCCTTTTGTAATCGCATGAAAGTTCCCTACGGGCTTGACGGGGACTGTGCAGCCACACTCCACCACCATTCTGCCCCTTAAACCTCCAAAATCTAGAATCCTAGCTTCACTGTCATATGTAGCAAGCCATGAGAAAAGAGTAAAACTCTACAGGCCAGTCCTGCCTATCCTCAGATCCACACTATTCATAATTCAAAATGAACTTATATTTTACACTTTAATTTGATATTACAGTCCATTTGATAATTTATGTTGGCAAAAGTAAAATGATCTTTTTGTTACTAATGAAAACTTGCTAGTAAGATTTATAATGTAATTTACTCCTTAAGGGGGATAACTTTGCTTTAATTATTTAAATATAATGGCTGCTTCTAATTCAACTGTCACTACACACCCTAAAGGCTTGTAGGATCTTACTTTGTTAGGCATAATAACTACCCTGTATGTATATGAGATAACAAAATTGCATTTGCTAGAAAATATTGTATAATTTGCTCTAATTCATAGAAGCAAAGAGCTATTCTCTTGGCTCTTGAATTAGTCAAATGTATGTCACTATAGTTTACATCTCCATACATTTTCAAGTTTCATAGTTCAAGAAAAAAGAGGAATATAGCAAATCTGCTGTCAAACTGAATTGGTCAATAAAAGACTTCAGAATGAAGAACCATTTTCCATAATATATATCTATAAAATACTAAATGCTCATTTAGGAAAGGTCACAAGTTATATAAGTTTAATTAAATAACTTAATTTAAGATGTGTAAGTAAAATACAGGACTGTGAAAGAAAATGAAATAATTAGCATGTTAGTTTAATTATTCAAGCTTTTATTTCTATTAAAACACATAGTCAGCAAATGTTCTATCAATTTCTCTAATTAGTGAATCTATAAACTATTTTCTAGACTGGACACCACATATAATATAATAATAGCATGCCAAGCATGTGTTGTTACCTCGAATAACATAATTATCCAGGGCATCTTCCATTCTCTTCAACGCTTCAGTTCTATCAGAACCATATGTAATCAGCTAAAAGCAAACAAAACACAATTTACACTGATATATGTCTACCTATCTACCTATGAATCAAGGAATTCATCCTAGAAAAATTTGAAATATTTCATAACAGAGTTCCCAGAACACCTTTTAAAATTTTACAATGGTTCAGGTTTTAATATAAAGTATGTGATTTAAGATTTTTTTCAAGTAAGTCAAGATTAGAATAAAGCTATTTCAGATTTTTTCCCTACATTTCACTAACACAGAAAAGACCTATTCAAGATAAACAAAAATGTAGCAAAAACAAGCATAAAAAATTTATAAGGAAAGATATCAAAATGTGAACATCTGGGACAGTAGAGGATTAGGCAAGATTTGTTTTTTTCTCTATTTTTCTGTGGTTTCTAAGTTTGACACCCTGAATAGCTAACTTTTATACATAACACAGCACAGAAGCACAGGGTTCTTATATTAGAAAAATAGAAAGGTCTTACTGTTCTGATTTTGTGCCTATTTATAAGTATCATACAAATTAGCAATAAGAAATTAACAATTCATAAAAGAATTTTCTGGTTATTACATTAGTCAATCTGTAGTTTGCAATTATTTTAGTTCATTTTAGGAGCTCTTCAATATCAAGCCAGGTTGAAAATTAATTTGCAGGCCACTTTTCTGATCAGAAATGTGTTCATCTAAAAATGGAAACACAACTATTAAAATCAAACTCTACCATGAGGTATTTTTATTTTTAATAGTGTTTCTCAAACAAAATACCTAAAGTTCACTTTAACAGTATTAATGTCAAAATGAAAAAATTTTTAAATGCTTTGTTTACCACAACTATGTAAAAAAGTCCACTTGTGAGAAAGAAAACATCTTGAGATATGGGATTTTTAATAAAAATGTCATCCTTTAATGCAGGCCTCACATTTCAGAGAACACAGGAATTTCTACATAAAATCCATAGCATTAACTACTGCAGTCAGAATTTTACATTTTATAGGACCTTAAAATTCTAAAGATTTTAAAAGATCTAAAACTTTAAGTAGAATTCATTATTCTGAAAAGTCAAATTTCAAAAAGACAGGTAGGCAAAAAGACATCTCACACACTTAAGTAAAATTTAATTATGTCAAATCCATATAAGCAGTGATTCATAAAAATTGAAAAGGTAAAAAGTACTCCAACAAATACATCCTACCACCCAACTTCTTGACATCACCTGCCATTCATACTGTCATCTCAGCTTTCAGAAATGGCCAGCTAACCTTAATTCATTCTTACTGCAATGGGCTGGACTGGTGCCACTTGTTCAGATAAATTGTTAATTTTCAGGGCAGGGGGTGATAGTTGGGTTGGACTGGTGAGGTGGGAGTGTTGCAAATTAACATGGAGTTGAAATTTCTCTCTTAAAAGAAAGAAAATCTCTGCTTTCACTTTTTAATCAGTGTACATTTACTTAAATACTGCAGATGATTCAGATAAATTTCAGACTTTCAAATGTGTCCATTGTCTTTTCAGAGAAAACTGAAAGAAATCATTAAGAAATCGAACTAACTTTTGAAATCATTGGATCATAATAAATGCTAATCTCACTTCCTGGTTGAATGCCGCTGTCAACCCGGACCTGGGAAAATGAGAGAAAAAAATGAAAGTTACTTCATTTTGTGCAGCAATTTATTATTTTAGCAACAAATTTAATTTCCATGTAATGGACAATTTCAATTTCAAAAACCATTTCAGCTTCTGGGAAACAGAAAAACAATCTGAAGTATCTAGACACCAAATTATCTTCATCTGTTAATATGCAGCATAACATATTTTTTGTTCTCCCACTTAACAAAGGACCTAAGTAAGAAACCACACGCGTGTGTGGGCACACACACACACACAAAAAAAAACTTCATACATCACTATCCAGGGATGCATTTGTAGCTATTTGATGGTGTCTTCCAACTGAAGCATAGCATGAATAATATCCCTTCTAGTCCCCCTCCCCATGGTCCCCTCCTGAGGTTCCAGTGAGGACCCCAGTCAAGCCGTGCAGCAGACGGGGCGCTCTGCTCATCAGCCCTACGGGGACGCTGGTCCTGTGGCTTTCATGTCTGTAACACTTTCCTTTTTTGCCTCACCCTCTCAACTGTAAAACGCTTTTTTTCTGTTACTGTTCGTCCCCCGAGACTTTAATGTTTACACAGCTTTTCTCATGGCTTTGCTTTGTAAGGACACAGCCCCAATTAGAGTTCCGATTTTGTGATTTTCATGGGGGAAAAAAAAATAGCGCAAGTTCAAAATATTCTTTTGAAGAGCCTGATAGCTGTTAACCAGCCAACAAGTTAGTTAGTACATCGCTGATTCTTGTTTTCATCTCCCAGTTTGATACCATCAGGAAGGCACAGAGGTTAGCCATGTAAAACTTTTTAAATGAGCAGTTGCAGAGGATGAAATATTTATTAAACTATTGTGCCTAAGCTTTGGAATCTGAAGTATTTAAAAGCTAATCAAAATACTTAAGACTGTCAAGAATGTCCTAGGGGCATTGAGGATAGAGGAATTTAATCGAAGCTGCTAGAACAGCAGGACTTTGATGCCCGACATTGTAAAGGGGTGGGGAGGGAAGAGCAGAAGCTCACATAGCTCTCCACCTGTGGGAAGAAGGCTTCCTAATAAACAGCATCTCATCTGTCTGCAGCAAGGCACAAAAAGGTCAACACAGCGGCTGTTGGGCCTTTAATATTTTAATTTAGGCAATTATCAAGGGACCCCATGTTGAACCTCTTGTCTAGGATATCCACATGAGGGTCTGATGATGGCTTTATTACACACTGACATCAAAAGATAAAGCATAGTTTCATTCTCTTAAAAAAAATCACACTACTGTTATTCTCTTTGTAAGTTTTTAGAAGATAACATCATAACACACCCAGAGTGCCTTTAATTCTGTATTTGCAAATACAAATTATGGATATTGTACATTCATTCACATTCATACAAGATAATCTTAATTTTAAGTGAAATTCATTCAGCTCATTTACAACATATACTTAACTTCCTATTTTCTGAAACCATACTTCAGACCATAAGTTCTACAAAATTCAGTGTTAAAAAAAAACTAGAGAAGAATTAATGGGGCAGCTGTGAAAGCAATAAAATCATAATCTTCTCTCTCCCCACATTTAAATAGCCCCAAAATGGCAACTTGCAAGTAAGTCATATAACAGAAAAAACATCTCTGAACTTGCATTTTCTTAATTTTAGGAGCCAAAAGTTAAAGAGCTCATTTTACCACTCTGTATTATTTAAAACCATAGCATGTTTGCTAAAGCTGTGTTTAAACTGAAATTGGTAGAAGCTCTAAAACTTTTCACGTTAAACATATCCTACTATCTGCTCTATAAACAGCTACAAAGCTAGTGTGGTACTCTGATGTTCAACCCACTGGCAAAATAACACAATCAAGAATACTTTTTACATTCTTCTATAGTTAATAACTTAAAATTTTAGTTACCTTGAATAACACAATCCTAAATGGTAAGTCACTTAGGGCTGATACATATAACTAGGTCTTTGTTATTTATTAAAATTATGATCACATAAAGCAAGTCACTTTAAAAATACATAGGATAAAATCAAAATATATACAGCCAACACATATCTTTGTATAGGCAAACCAACATTTCTAATTTAAAACTGTAACAAAGCATGAAGACTGTAACTTGTATTTATTGTTCATGTAGCTTTTTCCAAATAATAATCAGCTTTTAAAACATTTTTAACAATGAATTAAGACAAGTCTCCATCCCTCCATGGAAACAAAGGCTATACAAAAAAAATACATTTTAGTTTTTGCAATAACAGCTTTAAGAATAAAGTCAAATGAAATTGTAACCAAATTTCTGAGTAGAACAAAACTGTAGTCTGAAAATAACAAATTTACAAAATATGGTGATCAAAAATACAATCTTCATTTTTGCCATATAAATAAATCTTAGGCTTAAAGAAGCATCTGAAAAGTACGAACTGTAAGTTAACTTTAAAGTATGTATTTTGGAGACCAAAGGTAAGAGTCGCATGGATTTCCTAAATTAAAACTAACTGATGTAGTTTAAGAAGGCAGGGAAGAAAAAGCACCACCACTACCCAGGCACCTGGGTATGATAGTCTCAAAACATTGCTCAGAAATCTCTCGCATAATTTAGATGTCTCTCTTCTGTACCAACAGCAGACTGTGTGAAACTATCAGCCGTCTCCCACCCTCCATTCTCGATTCACCTCTCCCCCACAGTACAACTCCCAGCCCGCCATGTCTACCTGACAAGTGACAGCCCAATCTGATTAAATGCTTCCAAGGGAGGGGACTCGTGGGCCTCCATGACAGGCCAAAAGTGATCACCATGGAGATACATAATTACAGCTGTCAACGCATCTACTGTCCTGCTGACATCAATTTGATTGCTCCCAGCAATAATGATAGACAAAGCTTAGTGTGCACTCTCCTGCACCCAATCACGTTATCTATTCCTTGGTCCATTTAGCTGACATGCAACATTCACACAAGCAAATAACAGCAGTAAGCAGAACATTTAAGGCATTTTAATTGTTTTTTCTTTCTATGGATGGCTCACAACTGCAAATGTTATTACATAAAACTCCTGCTGCAGCATTAATTGAAGAAAGATTTGGTGGGACAAAGACTGTAGGGGGTATAGTTTGTCCATTATCACTTGTACTTTCAACAGGTCTCACGTTTGAAAATTGCAAATTGCAAAAACTTGCAAGGGCAAAATGTTTGACATCCTGTTACCTATTACAACATGGTAAAAACTTCTAACAACTACAATAATCATTATGAATTCTTATTTAATGCTTTTTTCTGTTTGATTAAAAAAATGTTTAGATATGTCCCTATGATACTTGTTTTCTCATCTGCTATTTAACATCACATAATGCCTGTTAAATCTTTACAATTTATTTTCTGCCTTCAAGCTTTAAACACAGCATGGAGTCTGTGAGCCTAGGAAGGGTCAAGTCCCTTTGGAAAGCACATGGGCAAAAACAATTTAAAAAGTGAAATAAATCATATATCCAATAACATCTTCAAATTTAGAATTCTTCCTGTAATCTTTCACCATCTTCATGCCAGTAATCAAACTAAGTAATCAGATTCACAGATGGTGCAGCCCTGTCATCCACTAGCTAACATAATGTCATACATACGCACTTATTACCTCGCTTAAGAGAAAGGATTATGTCCTTTTTATGCAACAAAAACTATTTAAAGAACAACTATTAAATACAGAAGAACTCTCAATAAAGTGGACGGTGATCACTTGTTTTTAACTAGTGTAAGTAACAGGTTACTTCTTCAAGTCCATGACACTCAATAGAATAAGGTACTTTGTTTTCTTTAATCCTTTTCCGTTAAAGAGCTGATGTTGTGTTTGAATTTCTTGACATCTGACTATACAGGGAAACTGATTAGATTTAGTGAAAAGATTTAATTGTAATACAGAAAAGTCATTTCCCATCCTTAGGGATTCCATACTTTTTTATCATAATTTTCAAGGGAATTGGGAAGACTGTAGACTCTTTTACTTAGCAGTCTCATGTCCCTGGACTTCTGTCCAGTGAATTTTGACTTTCCTGCACATTATGAAATACAAAGTATTAAAAAATTAAAAACTGTGGTTCCCCATGAGTTTCACTTGTCCTTCAATTTACAACCTTTGGTGTTGAAATGCTTTAACATAAAAGTCTGATATAAATCAAGATTTTACCCCTCACTTGGCAGTACAGCTTAATGACTTACACCAGGTAGATGTATTGGTTCTTGATACTGAGACAATCTCCCAATAGACGGTAAACCAAAAGACTTGTAGGGGTCCTGAAAGTTCAAAGGAAAGGAAGCACAGTCTTTGAAATATAAATCAGCACAAGTAAGGTTAAATATTTATACAATGGAGTATTTATAGTCTATTTTCAACATACAGTACTTACACATCACAGATTTCAGAATATTATTGTCTCATACTCACTGTAGACAACTTAGAAGTGTACTTAAAAATCAAACAGAACTGTAAGCAGAATTTAGCCTGACCTTGATCATACTTTATTGAAATTGGTAAAAGTCCAACGTAAAATCTTCTTAGAATGCCTTGGGCAAAAATAAAATAACCTAGGCGCTACATCAAAACATACTCAAGTTCAGAAAAACAAATGTAGTGCACTAAAGATATTTGTTTTTCTTACACTCAAAACAGCTCACATATGGTAAAATTTGAGAATTTTGGTTCTTCAAATAAAGACCTAAAAAGAAACTTTTCATATACTACTGGATACAGGTTCCATCGGTAAATATCTTAGATCATCAAAGTAATTACTAAGTTCAATGTCATTAACAGTAAGAAACCACTTAAAATATAATAAAAAGAACAACAACCAAATCAAAACATATTTCTCAATATCCTTAAAAAACATTTCAAAACAACTTCCAGTATATTTAAACAGATACTGCTAAATTTATTTTTTATTTCAACAGATAGGCTTTGATGCCTAAAAGATAATATACATGGTTCTTTGCATTCTTGTTTTACTCATTTAAAGAAAGCATTTTCATATGTTGACTGCTTAATTATCTAACTTAATATTTTAATATAGTCATAAAATAAAGTATCAAACTGAAAGTTCATGAGGAAAATCTGTAATTAAAATTATGAACAAAAGCTTTGCAATTTAAATTTTAGTTATTACTTTCACATCATCATAAAGGATAGCAAACTACTGGAAAAAATTTAAGTAAATATTGAATTAACAACTAATGTGTACACAGGGTAGGCTCTTTTCAAAAAAATAAAAACACACAGAAATAAATACTTTTGTTTATTTCAAATGTGGTTTGAAAACAAGCATACAAATAAAAAACCATGACTCATTCAGGCACAAGAATATTTAACTAATGATTTATTGCCCCTAAAACCGATTAGAAGCTATTTCTCCATCCAAAAAGAAAAATACATGAAGACTCATTAAACTCAATCCTTTAAAACTATCTTGAATTTTGTCAAAATTATCTAACCTTCTCTCTGTTTTGATTCTGGACTCCAAAAGCAAATACTTGACATAGGTAATAAACCCTGACTTCACTTTGTTGTTCAGCTATACCTGGTCCTATGCCTTGGGACTCAAGTACCGCCCTCCCTCCCAACATCATTCATTTTACCTCAGCGTAAACCCGACATTCAACTGCCCAGCCGTTGATGGGGATATCAGCCTGTGTGTGCCTGAGAGGGTAACCCCTGGCAACACGGATCATTTCTTGGACTAGGTCCAGGCCAGTAATGCATTCTGTAACAGGATGCTCAACCTGCAAGACCAATATCTGCCAGTTACAGAGTGTAGGAAAGGGTACATACATAAAAATAAGCAAAAATAATTTCAACAATTTATATTTAACATTTAATCATATTTAACTAAGAGACTAAGAAAATACAATTAAGTAAACACAATATAATGCAAAGCATGATAAAAAAAAAACAAGCATCTAAAAAGTATTTGTAAACTATCTGTATTACTTTTCCCAGTTTTCAATTAGATGTGATCCAGCAATGTTTAATACTTTGAATTCTGAAACTAATTCTTAACTATAAATTACATACATAGCTGTAATCCTCAGTGTGGCTAATAATCAACCTATTCTGCTACACTTAGCATGGCATCCATAGAGGCAGCTTGTGATTTTCCACAGCACTAGGCTAGCCTAGTCTCCCCCACTCTCCTGCTTTCACTAACCTGTCCTGACAAGCAACCAGATTAGCGTACTCTTACATCAATGCAGTGTAGCAGAAAGGAGCAGATGGATCCTGCAGGTTGTTTTCCCTTCAGACTTACACGGGGAGTGCTTAGCATGCACAATAGCAAAAATGAGCCAGTGAAATCACTCTGCTCTCTCAGCAAATTGCTGATAACTACTTTGGATGATGCTGTCATGTGGATCCCTGGCCTTCCACACTAACACATGGGATACACATGTACAAAAACATGCACTGACACAGAGAGATATTAATAGCGCTTCACATCATTATAAGTTTGATTGATGGCTTACAAGTTCCTAAACTTAACTGAGCTAAAATAATGCCACTTATGGCATAGGTAAAAAGCAGATAATCTGTCTTTCATCTAAAACCTTGAGCATGTTTTAAAAATTTGTATAATACTTTAGCCACTTTTGCTGCTTTAATACCAATTTCTTCTCTCATAAAAATTAAGCATGTTCTAAATTCACTTCACAATAGCTTCTTTATCAAAACATGTCATATTTCATACACCTGGACACAGAAAAAAGTCAATGAACAACTGAATTGTCTTCCCATCTTCAACTATACTAATTGAAGGGTAGGACTTAGTCATTCTAATAATCTTGAAGCTTATCATAAGCAGACAATGCCATGGTCTTAAAAGAAAAAAAAAAAAGGCTTTGTAAAAATAAACAGATGGCATCCATAATTAGCTCTGTGTGTGTTATGAGTTTGTTTACAGTTTCAACAACATTTTAAGACATTTTGACATAATTTTAATGACAAATCATCACTAAAATAAGCATCTACCCTTTGTAAAATAAATGTGACACTAAATAAAGATCTTATCAGATAGTTTAAAATACATATTTTTGAAAGCAAATTACGGTTTGGTGAGAAACAAGACTCTATATGATAATAAAACAACAAAGGAACACATGTAAAGGCTCTCTATTGTTGCTAGAAAGAAATTTCACCAAGAAAGCATGTTACCACTCCTCAAGAGGTGAACCTACTACGTACCAAGCACTTTGTATCAACAACTACTCACACATCTGTTAGGTGAGAAGACATTTCAAACGCTAATTATTTAATTTGATCTTTCTACAACTAGTGCCCGGAAAAGTATGTACTATATACAAAGTAAATAAATACATATTGCAAATCCAGAGCCCCAAATTTAGAGTCACACCTACAGTAAGTGGTAGAGTAGGGCTGGAATTTATGTCATTCCAGAGATAATATGATCTTCCTCTTCATCCTCATGGAGAAATGTTTATGAAAGCCATGTAGGAAATAAGACAGCTATATAATTAGGTGTCATCTTTTATAAAATATATTATAATGAAAATTTAAAGACACAAATCACTGTAAGACTGTTCTACCTTAGAAGACCTCTCTATAACTATGCAGAATACACTCACATTGAATGGAATCCAAAAAGGGACCCACTGTCTCCCAATTTAGTTATTTAACAGAAACTTAACAAATTTAACAATCTAAATTAGTGAGCTGAAAGTATTTAAAAATAAAATAATTCACAGATAACTAGAATAACTAGCTGCTGAAATCATTACTTACAAAAAATTTTTAAATATATCCACTGAGGTTTAAGCATTGTTAAAGTCTGCAGAATAGTCTAACATGGCTGAATTTTTCAGGTAACAGATATATATACATCTTTTTTAAAGTAAAACTTAAAATTTTCTTTATTTTTGAAAGAAATCTTTCTAAAAATATTTTAATGGAATTCCGAAGTTATTCAACAGGATATATGAAACATTTCCTTTAGATCCTATGTTGTTATTATTATCAGGAATCTTTTATGTGTAAGATTGTTTAAATAACCATGTATATCTCACCATCCCTGAGAACTTAGAAATAGTTTCCTTTTACAACTTAAACCGAGCACTTAAGAGATCAGAACAGAGATACACAAAGACACAAAATGGTTCCAAGGCCAAAGTATGATTCAACAGAAGTTTTAAAAATATCTTTAAAGAGAAAAGAAAAGAGAAAGGAAGGGAAGAAAGATCAATGGAAAGTAAAGGTGGCTCACTGGGACAAAAGATTATAAAAAGAAAAAGAGAGTCAAAGATTGGTGTCTGGTAAGCCAGCAAGTTCTTGTCCCACAGAAGAAAAATCTAACTACAAAAGTCTGATGCCAATAAATACCTATTCTGAGATCTATATGGGGAAATAAGAAAAACGTTTCTGTGTCACTCCTGCTTAGGAAACACTGTGTTAACCTAAGTTAAACTGACTTTTTAAGAAAGACTCCTCAGACCTATTACTGTCAATATACCTCAGACTCTCAAGGCGAGGATTGTGTACAAGCACTTACTTAACCACACACCTCCTTCTTTGGCAGACTGTACTTAAGGGTTGACAATTCCATGGAAAACATTTTTAGAAACAATGCCTTAAACACTCAAAATACAAAACTGATTTCCTTTATTGTGACTCTACCCTCACCAAACAAATGTTTGAGAACCTGGTTCACACATATTTTCCTACCAACAGAAATGTGTACTAGTTCCAAGAAACACGAATAAGGGACCCACCAGACAGCATGATTATGCATTGGAGATTAATATATTGACATTCTGGTACGTAAATCTTCATTTGGACAGCAAAAAAAGCAGGCAGGGGAGCAGAGAGAGGAGGGGGGTAAAGAGATCACACATGCAAAAAAAAAAAAGGGTAAGTAAGCCTACCAAGTTAGAATTTCTGGGTCCTAAGAGGCAAATCACTGATATGCTCATCAAGATAGTGACTCTCTGCAGGGTATGTTAGTAGCTGATAAATGAGTTTGTACTGGCAGTGCCCCACCTCATCATGAATCTTCTGTTCAGACAAGTACAAACAACGACAATCTTCAAATGCTATATTATGGGACAGCATCACACTCAAGGGCTAGAACGAGTAGATACAGTTCCATATGCCTGCGTTAAGATGGTCACAAACAGCTAGCTTTTTATAGATTTACTTGCTATTTTAATTGTGTTTGGTCTTCTTGGTCACCATCAAGCTAACATTGCCAGTGTTTTAGTCCACACCTCTTGCCACTCCATCTTACTAAACTGGTTTTAAATGTATTTCCCAAAATTAATAAATAACTGAGCTTAGCAAATGCCAAGTGAGATAAATTAGGTTTTGCTTCATCTCTGAGCTCTTAATGTTTCAAACTTCAATAGTAATGAACTTAGAAAAACTAGGTCTTTCTGGCATTCTGTTGTCATTTATCTTACCTGCATGATCCTAAAAGTTATACTCAAGTTCTGCCACTGACACTGTATTCTTCAGCCTTATTACTCATTAAATACAAACAGGAAGCAACTGAAACTAATGAGTAAAAATATAATGAGATAAAAAGAAAAGAAATCCTCCCATCTGCAACGACATGGATGGATCTAGAGGGTATTATGCTCAGTGAAATAAGCCAGGTGGAAAAAGACAAATGATTTCACTTATTTGTGGAATATAAAAACAAAGCAACACAGAATAAACAAAACAGCATTAGACTCACAGGCACTTGAGAAGTGACTGGTGGTTACCAAGGGGGAGGAGAGTGGGTGCGAACAGGGAGGGGAGGGGGGCTGCTGAACCACTGTGATGTGCATTTGGTAAAATAATAAATAAATAAAAATACAAATATATATATATATATATAAAATGAGATATTTCCAGTCTCAAAGTTATCTCCCTCTAAGATACCTTATTAATAACAAAAAGAGAAATTGTAACTCTGTGGTGCAGAAACATGGAAGACATCGCCTTAACCAAGCCAACAAGACCAGTTATGGGATAAATGAACATCAGATGTCTCCTATGTGATACTCACAGAAGCACAGTATCACTTCTATAATGTTACTGCCAAAATGCAAAGCCTAAATATAATCATGAGAAAACAGACAAATGCAAAATGAGACATTCTATAAAATAAATGGTCTGTGCTCATAAAAAAATGTAAAGATCCTAGTTGACAAAAAAAGACTAAGGAACTGTTCCAGATGGAGAGTAAAAAGATATGACAAATGTAATGTAGGATACTGAACCAGAAAATTTTTTTCTTTTACTATAAAAGACATCAGTGGGACAGCTGGTGAAATCTGAATTACCTATAGATTGGACGATCACAATATGTCAGTGTTAATATCCTGACTTTGATAATGGTACTGTGGCAATGTAAAGCAATTTTCTTGTTTTTATGAAATACAGACATACTTAGGAATTAAGGGACACAGAGATTTTAATTTACTCTGAAATGTTTCAGGCAGAGACAAAATAGACATACAGATAAAAGGATAAAGTAAACATTAGTGAAGAGTGTTCAGAAATTCTTTGTAATGTTTTTCAAGTTTTCTGTACATATGAAATAATTTCAAAATAAAAGTTAATAAAAATTAAAGCAATGTTGCTAGGCAGAGTTTTGTTTTCTATTACCAAACATTCCTAAAGATGCCTGACTTAACAACATTACTGTCTCTTCCGCCAGAATCCACCCACTGTGTTAAATAAAAATAGCAGCAGATAATCTGTTCAATATGTCTGATCTGACTTTAAATAT